CCCCCCCCCCCCCCCCCCCCCCCCCCCCCCCCCCCCCATACACATATGTATAAAGAAGAGAGGGTAGATTTGCACCTTATAGACTAAACCAAGCGGATATATACACAAACATGCATGCACATATATATGCATGTGTGCGTGTATGTATATATGTATACACGGGTGTATCCACTTGGTTAGCCTATAAGATGCAAATCTACTCTGTCTTTAACATGGGTAACTATGTCTCACATTATATCAGGCCTAGGTCTGGCTGGTCCTACGTCCTGTTCCTATCCACAGTGCTTTAGAGGAAGGTTAAGATCCCAGAGGTCTGAATACCACTGCCTCGAGGGCTCAGGTCTGTGGGGTTCAGCACCACCTGCCTTGTTCCCCTACAGCTGATCTTTGCGGCCAAGTGCATCGAGGCGGAGGGCCGGCGCTGGCACGTGGAGCACTTCTGCTGCCTGGAGTGTGACCTGCCTCTTGGTGGGCAGCGCTATGTCATGAAGAGTGGGAGACCCTGCTGCTGCAGCTGCTTTGAGAGCCTCTATGCCGAGCTCTGCCAGGCCTGCGGGGAGCTCATCGGTACATCCCGGGATCTCGGGAAATCGAGAAGGGGGCACGGAGCAGGCTGAAAGGTCCCCTCAGCTCTGCTGTGTGGGGGCTTAGAGCTAAATGGGAGGGGGTAGCAGAGGGGGCTGCCCTGGGAAAGGCAGCTGGTTTGTGCATGGGCTCCCGTGGGGAAGGAGCCAGCTGCTCATGGCCTTGTCCCTCAGGTGCTGACAGCGAGCAGGCCACCCACCAAGGCCAGCACTGGCACGCCAGCCCCTCCTGCTTCTGCTGTAGCTCCTGCCGCAAGCCACTGCTGGGAGAGCAGCTCGCATCCCGCCACGGCCTCCCGTACTGCTCGGAGACCTGCAGCCGGGAGAAGGAGCGTGCCTCGTCCTCCTCCACGGCCTCAGACTCCTCTGACTCGGCTTTCCTCTCCACGCCCTCTCCCGAATCCACGCCTGTCCCCAGAGCCAGCCGCAGCAGCAGCAGCAGCCGGAGCAGCCCCATGCCCACCCCAGCTGCAGACAGGGACACCTGCAAACCAGGGGCTGCAGCTGACGGTACGGTTGTCCGCAATCAACTTGCAATGGCGTGGGGCTGAGGAACCAGGATTTCTCTTTAGCAGTGTTTCCCCCCTGCCGGTTCCCCCCCCCCCCCATCCTGTCCTTGGCAGCAGTGACTGGGGGGCCTACGTCAGCTCCAGCTCAGGACAGCACAGATCATCCGGCCATTAGCTTGTGCTGACAGGCTGGCTCAAGTGGGGGTGTGCGCGTCTCAGGCCTGTCTCTTCTCACTTAATTCTCACTCTCCCTGTTGCAGGGACAGAGGAGCCTTCAGCCCAGACCAGCATCCACCCTGCCTTCTGGAGCCAGGATGACCAGGGAGCCCTTCTCAGAGAGAGGGGCAAGGGAGCTACCTCTGTTAGTGCCTTTGGACAGGCAGCTGCTGCCTCCCCGGAGCAGGATCTGTCATCAATGCACCCCCACTGTGAAGTGGATCAGAGTGTGCTCAGAGCCTCACCGGTCCCCATCGGAGACCCCCAGGCAGACATCAGTGCCCTGTACCTGGGTGCCAGCCCCTCAGCAGACTCCAGCGTGACTGTCCCACAGAACCTTGCGCCCCCCAAGCAAACGCCACGGCACTGGGATGCCGAGGAGGACGACGACGCACGGTGCCCGACCTGCTCCTCCTCCTCAGACTCAGAGCAGGAGGGCTTCTTCTTTGGCGAGCCGATCCCCAAGCCTGGGACAGGGCGCCCTGCCACCCCCAGCTGGGAGTACAGCAACCTTGGCGCGGCAGCTGGGACGGCAGCCAGGCTGCGAGCAAGCAGCAAGCACTGCAGCATTTCCTAACACGGACCAGGCTCAGCACAAGGGAGCAGTTTCCCGCACCACGGAAAGGGGGAGTGGAGAGAACGGGGATCACAGGGCACAGGGGAATCCACCAGCAACACCCCAGCAGGCGCACTTGGGACACAACCTGTGTCCTAGCCCCGCATGTTGTCCCTAGGTGGGAGGAGAGTGCAGAGCAGCGACAATAGCCTCCAGGGTCCTCTGGACAGACCCAGGGCTGGGATATGGAAGTGCTGGTCTGGATCTCTCAGTGCTGGACTCAGGCTTCGGACATGTGCCAAGCTTTCAGTGCATTTTACAAATGTGTTTGGAACAAGCCCAAGCACAGATGGAGATAAGCCTCTGGGGTCCTTTCACTGGCAGGCTCCTAATGGCTGTTCTGCAGGGCTGTCCCTGTTGCTCCTGTAACAGGATGATGAACAGGTAAAGATAGCTGGGAAGGGCAGCCCTTGTGGGGGCCCAGTGCCTTCACTGGCTTGCATCAGGCTGGGAAGACAACAGCCCTTTGAGAGTCCTTGGCTCTGCTCCCCCGTCACAGCTGAGACCCGAAGAGTGACTGTGCCTCCTTTCCCCTTGGAAATCCCTTCCCTGCCTTGGCTCTGCCTCCCGGCACTGGAGTTCTCACAGATCCTCTGGGGGCAGGACCCTGATGGCACAACCCGGGCACCCAGCCTGAGGTGCCTAGAGGGAAGTGACTCTCCAGAAGGCCTGGCTGAGTCCTGCCGGAGATAGGTGAGCGTGGGGATGGCAAGGCCCCTTCCTCACATAACGCTGCTGTTGACTCCGGGTGCAGAGTGTGCACCCGCAGCAAAGTCCCCTTGAATGCAGACAACCGGACGCTGGTTCTGGGATCTCACAACATCCCCCTCTCCCTTCCAAGCTAAGCTATGAGACTTCTTCCACCCCACAGTGCAAGGGGGCTTAACTGGGGCAGGCTGGGAGAATGTCTCAGTGTTATACAGACAGGCTCCTAAGCCTCATCTCCATCAATAAAGCTCAACATGGATCTCAACTGCTGCATGTGTAAGTGAAGCAGGCCCCACCTAGGCCAGGCACTGCTCTCACCTGACAGCTGGTTGCAGGTGGGAGACAGCGAGAGCCTTCCAAGGTGGGACAGCTGGACAGGGCAGGCAGCCATAGCCCCTGTAGTCATCCATAGCCCCTGTGAGACATTCTTGCTGCTGAACCCAGCAGCACAACGTCCTGGGTTAGGCAGAGCTCAGTAGATTGGAGCCAGCCCTGCCCTGGGACAGCAAGGAGCAGAGGAGGAGGATGCTGGCTGTGCCTCCACACAGTTGCCCAGGGCTGAGGGCAAGGCGGTGGACAACCCTGTGTTCAGAGGGCTCCAGCATCTGCTGAAGCCAGATTTCAAGAGAGCCCTTAACAGCCTCCCGGTCACAACCCCCTCTCAGCAGCTGCCGTGCAGGCTTCACCAGTCAGTGGAGAACAGCTTCTCCTCACACTCAGGAAGGGGCAGTAATCCTAGCAGGACAGGCGTGGGGACGGGGAATTTCACCCGCTGTTTTATTTTTCTCTACTAACAAAACTGCACAAGCCCCAGGCCAGCTGCCAGGCCCCGTGTAGGCTTCCCTGCCCAGAACCCAGGTAAAGCCACGAGGCTGCAACCCAGCCCCGGGCTGGAAAAAACTGCCAGGAGTCCAGGAATTTGCTTCCACAACAACCCCGCACCAACAGTGCTCCTGCCCCAGTTCCTTCCCATGCCCTTCAACCCCATGGCTGCAGCTCCTCAGGGCGGTCACCCCCCAGCCAGAAGTCCCTTTCCCATTTCAGGACCAGACCCCACTGCCCAATGTAGAGCAATACCGAGGCCCCCGAGCCCTTCTCCCTCAGTCTGTGCCAGCTGGCTGCTCGTACAACCCCAGCAGGTCCCTCCATTGCTGCTGACAGAAGCATCTGGCTGGCCTCAGCCTCCAGCAGGCACCGCTCCCTTGACCTGGTCCAGAGCCAAGGACAGGTGTCTCCAGCCATGCGGTGTCTCATGAGCTGGTGGCGGCTGAGTCGTAGCTGTCAATGAAATTCTCCAGCTCCTGCAGGTAATGGCCCCTAATCTGCTGCAGGTTGGCACGCAGGGCCGAGCCCATCGCCGCCTCCATGGAGGGCTCCTTCTGCAGCAGCATGGTGGCCACCACTGCGATGGTAAGACTGAACTGCTGGTAGGACTGTGAGGAGGGGGAACAGGAGCGCATCAGACGAGGCAGCCCATAAACCAGTCCCTAATCCCAGCCCTCGCTAGCCCTTGGGGGAGCAGGGAGCCTTGTGTGGGTCCACAGTGTGGCTGAGCAAGAGGGGCAGTCACCCTCTAATCAACACCAGCTGCTGTTAGGACAAGGCGGGGTCCTCTCCCCAGGCCCATTCAGATGTTAAAACTGAATCCCAAAGCTGTCACTGTCATCAGTGGCTCTAAGGGGTTAAGAGCAAGGGGGACAGAGTCTCACATTACAGCCCCTGGGCAAGGGCAGATGGGCCCACAAGACAAATGGGGATCGACACAACCCAGCCATCCCTCCTCCCACCTGCTCCCAGCACCCAGGGTGTTTAATCCACTCTCTGGCAAAGCAAAAGTTCAGTGAAGGGGAGAAAGGTGTGTGTGTGGCAGGGTGGTTTCTACATGTAGGGAAGGCCCCAGGCAGCATCTAGAATGTGACAAAAAGCCACAGGGCAGCTGGGCTGGGAGCTAGGCTGCTCTGATTCCTGGCACTACCATGGTGCTTGCACTGCTCTTCCTTTTTGCTTGCAGGGTTCTGGGGGTGCCCAATCCAGGATCTCCTGGACCTTCATTCAGAAGAGGCATGGGAAGGGCAGTGTTGGTAGCAAGGTTAGTGGGGGAAAAGGCCAGAACCCACCAGCTCGATCTCTTCCTTCCTGGCCAGTATAGCTGCAGAGCGACGGTCCTCAGTGCTCAGGGGCGGCGTGAACACAGCAACAGAGCCCTGGTGCTGGTAGCTGGCAGCCTCCAGACTGGTGCCCAGCTGGTCCTGCAGCATTTCCCAGGGCAAGGGACAGAGATTAGACAGTTCAGGTGCAAGGACAGGGGCTGAGAGCTCCAGGAATGAAATGGGGCTGCTGGCAACCCAAGTGCCCCAAAACCAAACCACCTGGCTGTGTAGCTGGAGGGAACTCCTGAAGTCAGGAGACTGCTGTCATCACCCAGCATGAACCCAGTATGACACCGGACTACCCTTGAATTAGCTGCCACATCCAACTCCATTATGGCAAATTCCCTGCAGTGGGAAATCCTCCATGGTCCTTGGGGACTTGCCCCAAGGGCTGATGATCCTCAGTATTACATATTTGTGCCTTATTTTCTATTCTGCCTTCATCCAACTTCAACTCCGAGCAAGGTGTCACTACAATGGGACAGCAGTTCTCATCTGCTGCCCAAGCACACACACACACAAGAACAGCCCTGGGCAGACCGGACCTAGAGTTCATGTTGGCAGCCCTTGAAACGGTGCCAAAAAGTTAGTGGAGTGTGTGTAAGATGCTTCTCAGAATCCTCTGCTTTGGCTGGCCTTGCACCTCTATTGCAGCAGCCCTGGCAGCTGAGCAAAGGATTCTAAGGGCACTTAAAGGCAACCACATGGAAAAAGTATTAGGCTGGGTGTGTAAGAGCATGAATTGGTACGAGGACCCCAAAGATCATCCTCACAAATAGTAGCCACCTAGGAAAATGAAAGGGCAAACATCCATTCATACCATCTCAGTCTCTTCCATTCTCAGCAGATGCAGATCCTCTGTGGTATCAGGCAGGGCTGGGGGTTCGGTAGCTAGAGCAGACGTAACCTGGGTGGGATGATCCATGGCCAGATGGCTTGCTTCCAGCTGCAGCGGGAGATGCTGGAAAGGGACAGAGGGAGGTTAGGCCACTCCAGAGGAAGAAGGGGTTATGGATTTGCAACTAGGTGAAGGATATGGGAGCAGGGAACACAGTGACAAAGCAAAACCAGAAGGCTGCAGGGGCCTCAGGGATGCTCCTGGATAAATCTTAGCCTGGGTAAGTCTTGTTACTACCAACCCAAACAAGCTGGGGAAATAAGAGGATCAAGGATGGAAGGTGGTGTCCAGTCCTATCAGTGCATCTGATCCCAGGTGAACAAGAGGGGACAAGTTGGTTTTTACCACGTCCATTCCTTCTAGCTTCACAGGACACAGGTCCTCTGTGGTCTCCGGTGGGGTGGAGGGCTCAGGAAGCACATCAAAGGCAGGTTGGCTGCTATTCTCTGTGGCCTGGCAGCTGACATCCAGCTGGACCTGTGAGATTTGAGTCGGATTGGAGGACCATTTCCCTGCCCCAGGAGAGGACAGGGCTGTGGGTGCTGGTGTGAACACAGGGCACCGAGAATTCCAGCCCCATAGGCAAACTTTGCAGCTGAAAGAGAAAATCTGCAGGACTAAAAACAGTTCCCTTCTACGTGCCAGCTGCAGTTGGGAAGGTCAAAAACACTTGCCTGTCTTGGGCTCCCCTCTGCACAGGGGCAGACTCCTATTAAAGCCAGTCCATCACAGGCAGCTACTTCCACCAAGGTCTCTACTGCTTGGGGTATGCTCTTGTCCCCTGCAAGGCATTATTGAGGGACCTCACTCCAGGGGGCATCACATAACCTGCCACCCTCCTAGACCATAATTAGTCACCTGTAATGAGTCTAGACCCTGCTGAGTCAGCCTCGGGGCCTGCAAAAGAGGGCTTCACTGCTCAGGCCCAAGCCTCACATACATGCTGGCGAACTGGTGGATCAAACAAATAGCCTGGCGGTGCCTCCTGCCAACCTGCTTGCTCCTTTCTAGATCTCATGTAAACCCTGCCTAGCCTGACCTGCTGCCAGGATCCCTATCTAGGTTCCTGCCAGCACCTTGGCCTAGCCTCAATCTGAGCCTCACCTGTCTGGATTCATGCCTAGCACCTGGCTGAGTCTGCTCCCACCACCCTGTCTGCCTGTTCCGATCCTGGATTGCACTGTTCCTGCCCTGCCTGTTCCCGAGTGCTGCCTTCCTGCAGCTTGATTTGACCTTGATTCTTCTGTGCCCCTCGGCTTGATATCTCCGACTTGACTGACAGCCAGCGCTCTCCACGGTAACCCCTGCTCTAGCAGGGCCCCTCACCCCCACCTGGGTTCATCCCAACACTGTCTTGCAAGGAGTGTGTGCCCCTGCAGGTGTCACCCACACCCTTTTGTGCCGGTTGCTCTGAAAACGCCTTTGGAGCCCAATAAGAGATGGTGCATTATGGGGCATGTTTAGGAATGAATGATGTCCTCTGCCAATACCAGATGGATGCACAGAAGGGAGAGGTATGTGGAGAGGACTTCTTTCACCTCAGGGAGAAGGATGAGAAGATATAGGGTAGCTCGTACCAGCTTGATTTCCTCCCCCTGCAGGAAATGGGGATCTTCCATTGGAACTGGCTCAGTTGCCAGAGAAGACCAGGCCTGGCTGTGACAGTCTGCAGCCTCCAGACCGGCTCCCAGCTGGACCTGCAATGATTTCCAGCAGGACACAGGAGACAGATCAGACTATGCAGGGGAGGAGGGGAGCTGGTGCTTTGTGCTGGAATCCAGAGAACCGGGCAGGAAATCCTCCCCCTCCTCTTCTCCCTGCAATGGGAAGGTCTCAAAGAGAGGCAACTGCTGAGAATTTATTTAAGCCTGTATCTGAGCTGCCTGACTCACTGCTGCTGCTTGGGATCTGGGCACCTGTGACCAGCCAGCCCGTCGTGCAGAGCTGTCTGGTGGCTGAGTGAAGATCTGTTAGGTCTCCACCTGGGCTCTAGCAGGTAGCTGCCCCTAGCACAGAGGCTGCAATTTTGCTCGGCCTCCAGCACTGCTAACCTCAGCAAAGGGTGGAACACAAAGGTGCCCCCCAGAAGGCTTTGTACTGGCTGCTCTGTCACCTCCTGTGCTGGACTGCCAAAGCCAAGTGCTATGGGATGTGTTTGGGACCAGAAAGGGAGCTGGGAAGAACTGGGGGCAGAAGAATGAAAGGCAGGTGCAGCATTCGGAGAGGAAAGGAGCCGAATCTCATGCCTCTTGCTGGACTCCTTGGAGCTGTGGCCAGCCCTACATTCTATGTTTATACAGCACCTAGCACAGGGGACTAAAGCCCCTAGGGGATACCTCAGTGCAGGTCAGCCCTATCCTAGGGCCCCCACACATCTGCCCAAAGGAGAGATGGGTTAGTTCTTACCAGCTCGGTTTCCTCCGGCCTTACGGGATCAAGTGGCTCAGTGGCCTCAGACGAGGGGTGGTCAGCTTCTGTGGTAGAGCTGGCCTGGCTGGGATGCTTGCTGGTCTCCTGTATGGGCTCCAGCTGGATCTGTGGAGGGTTTGGATGGGACAAGAGAAGGAGGTGAGAGGACGACTGAGAGCGAAGAGGTAGCGAACGTGGTCTGCTGCCCACATTGCAGCCGCTCAGAGCTCTGAGGGGAGCTGCTGAATGCTGGGCACCACACCGCATTCACAGATTGGGTCAGGACCCCCCACGATAGCCTCAGCCGGGGGCCGGAAGGGAGCTGAACCTTCCCCTCACAGGCCGCTGAAACTGTGCCATCCTCTCCGCAATGAGCTAAGCTGTGGGAGATGCAGCCTGCTCAGGGCCTGACCTGGCAAGAGAGGAGGTGGCAGCAGCTGCCTGTTGCTACATGGCACTTTAAAGGCGGCATTTATCTTTCACTTCCTTGCAGAAGAGTCCTTACAAAGGGGCTGCTTTGCTCTGGGGACTTCATGGTCTCTAGAGCAAAGAGCTGAGCCTATGGCCACTGAGACAAAGCCTCGTCCTTCCATATGGCCCGTGTCCTGATCAGGTACTGGCCCTTTCCTTGCCCACAGTGCGCTCAAGACCATGGCTGCCCCATAGCCAAGCAACTGACTGAACCTGATCCCGTCTCCAAGAAGCCCCAGCCCCCTCCAGAAATCCCTGCTCCTGGGGGCGCTTGGGCTTGCGGATATTTTGCTGAAGTAACAGAGTCTTTCTTGGTCGCTGCTGACTTTCGCTTCCTGCCCGACCGGAAAGACTCTCCCTTCTACTGGGTTACAACATGTCTGTGACGGAGCAGGGAGAGGCTGGATTCCCTCACGTGCCTCCCCATCTCCAGTGTTTTTAGGGCACTGGTAGCACCCCCAGCCTCTTCATGGGGGACTGAGGCATGGAGAGCTTACATGACTTGCCCATGGTCATGCAGGGAGTTTGTGGCGGAGCACTGCCACCTTCCCAAGTGCTAAACTTGTGCCCTAACCACTGGGCAGCAATTCCCCTCCTCACCAAGTCTCATAGAAGACAGCCTGCAGCATCTTTTTGCTGGAGTGAGGGCTCCCTCCTTGGCCCACACAGCACTTTATGATCCTTAGCATAAAGATGGGCTCTGACATCCCAAAGCCATGCTGCTCAATGGTAATAGAAAGCGGATGTCCCAATCCCATAGGCAGCTTTGAAAGGATCCTTTCTGGCTGGAAGCCCCTGAGATGGGGCCAGGGGAGCAGCACAATCCCTGCTTGCTCTGGCAGTGTGGGGTTTCCCAGTTACTAATGGCTGTGCTGCTGCTACAGGCCATGGTCTCCTCTGGGATACAGAGGCAGCCCAGTCACTTCCAAGTTGTCCCAGTGGAGGGGCTAATCCCACGCTCCAAGTGGGGGACTTCTGCTGCTCCTGCTCCATGGATACCTTGGGGTCTCCAGGGCCATCCAGCCAGTGCATGCAGAGGCAAAACAGCTCTACCCTCCCCGCTGCTTCCCCCACATGTGCACAGCCCTGTGCCCTACCCAGCCGCAGCACAGAGCACTGTCTGCACCCTGACTCGTGCCCTCCACCACCCTCTCTGCAGGGACTGGCTGATGGGTGCTGTCCTGAGGGATGGCTGCTCTCCTCTTACCACTTTGAGATTCTTTGTGGAGTAGGAATCCGACAGCCTGGAGGACTTGAACTTTTCTGTGAAGAGACCAATGGAAACACTGAGGCAGGCAGAGCTCTGACTCCCACCAGGGGACCGGTGCTGGGGAGACAGGGCCTATTCCTGTGCCCATCCGGGAGGTGGTGCTTGCAGATCTGGCTTAGCATCAAGACTCCTCCTGCCCCACAGACCAGGGTAGGACTGGAGTGAGGGAAGTCACTCCGCCCAAAATGTCACCCGCTCCCAAGGGCTGAGGCTCTCTACCAGCAGGCTCCAGCTTGCTTCCCACTCCAAAATCTTCCCCATGTAACAGAGCCACCAGCCCAGGACAGAAGCCAACTGTGACCTGTAGCTCCCACTCTCAGCACCTGCTCTTTCCAGACCTCCCCACCCCCCGCAACTTTTCCCAAGGGAGGCATCTGGAACAGCCAGGCTGGGCAGGACCCAGGCAGAGACATGGCTGAGACCCAGGAATCCAGCTCTGGTGGGCAGAGGACCTTGCATCTAGTATGGCAGCAGATCCCCCTGCCCCAAAAGACAAACCTTTGCGGGGTGGAAAGCTGTGGTATTGAGAAGAGAATTTCCCTCGGCTGCCACGGCCCCGGCCCCGGCGAGGTTTCCAGCCACGGCCCCGATAGCTTGGAGGAAACCAGGCAGCCTCTTGGTCTCTGTGGAAGGAACAGACAAGCTCACAAGCAGCTTTAGGGGAAGGGCAACTCTCAGGCTCCAACCTGTTCCTAGTCAGTGCTTGCCCAGCCTAGTACCTGTCCCCCCCTGTGCCATACAAGCATCCTGAGACTCCACTCACCGGCTCTGGCAGTACGTGTCTAGGCCAGTACCCTGAATCCACCCTGACCCGAGAGCTGGCAGGCTGACATCCCCTCACCGCAGGCAGAGACTTTGTCTTTTCCCACCTGTCCCTGGCCCTGGGTGCAAACCCCCCACCCTGGGCAAGGGGATCCTCATTGCCCTGGGAAGCAAGGACAGCCACAGCTGGAAGGCAACAGCAGCAGTAAGAGCCCAGCCAGGAGTCTTCCTAGGATAAACTGGGACCATCTGACTGTGGTGGAGAAAGGAGGGCACTGCAGCACTGTGGGGTGATGGATGGGGGCTTTCTGGACATCCCTCACTCTCAGCTGCAATCCAGCCCCTCAGAGAACCCCCCTGTGCAATCAAACCTGGAAGTGCAAAGGCCTGAACCCCCCTCCCCCCACACCCCAAAAGGGCAATTTCAGCATCACCAGCAGGCTGCACCCAGCTCCTCCCTGGGCCCAGTCACCTACCCCAGCGGTGCGCCCATGTGACAATACTCCTCCATCGGGTGCAGGGACGCATTGTGCATGACAGGCTTCAGGCAGTGCTGATCGGGGGTCATGTTCTGAGAGAGGACACATGCGTTACAGAGGCTCAGGGCAAGGCACCACTCTGACCGCAGGTTTCTTTGCAGCTCAACAGGACAGAGGGAGGGAAGACCCCTAGACCCCTCTGCCTCCTGGAGCTGGGAATAGAACCCAGGAGTCTGGAGACAGTCTGCCGTGAACACCAGGCAATGCTCCTCTCCTGGGAGTGAAATCCAGTGCCCGGCTCTGTACACCAGATCACGCTGCTTCTCCAGAAGCAACTGGCCCCGTGAGAGCATGGAGAGCTCTAGCACGTAGCCAAAGTCAGAGCACAGGGAATTTCCCCCGACCTTGCAGGGGTTTGCTCTGTTTGGACTAGGCCCCATTTGAGTTCCCTCATGGGAAACAGCCCTGTGGAGACTGCACTGGTCTTGACCTCAGCCCTGCCCCCCCCCCAGTCTTGCCTGCTACCCACCACCCAGTCTCCCCATAGGCAGGACCTTCCCCCGAGTACCAGGGCCCAGCACAGACCCCATTTACCGAGTGCCACTCGTCTTCGTGTCTCCTGTGCTGGTAATCCCAAACGTGCGGCTGCCAGTCGTCATAAGGCTCCCACCCCCAGTCTTCGCCATTTGGGGGGCAGGGGAAGCATTCAAAGTCCTGGGGACAGGGCTGCAGAGACGAATGACATGCCCTCAATCAGAGGAACTGCTGTTGAGCAGCAGACCAGCGGTCCCTCCACTCCCGTGTGCTCTCCCTAATCATGACCAGCACCAGCCATTACATGAAACAACAGGGAATAACTTGCCTAGGGGAGAATTTTCTGCCTTGCTGCTCTCACACAGCAGCTGGTGCATGCCCTGAAGCATGAACGTTTATAGCCTTTCCCTAGGATTTTTTCCTGTCCTTGGGGGGTGAGGTCTTCCTGCCCACCTGCGTCCTACCTTGGTCCTGCCCGCTGGAGATGGCTGGTAGAACTCATCACCCTAGGGGCGTTACAGACACTGGATACAACCTGCCTCTCTGTAAGGAGCTTCTGGGGTCCTGCCCAGGCCACTGGCTGCCCCTCTTGCTCTTGGCACAGCATGGGTGGTGCAGCAGGCACTCGAGATGTCCCTCCCTAACTTCACCCCCTTCTGGAGGCTCCCTCACTGCTGCCTCAAAGAGGGAAGGGCGGGGATTACATAGGGTAGAAATAAAAATGGGTGCTAGGCAGGCAAGTGGAACTTCCTGGGTGGGGAAACCGAGGCACGGGAAGGTGACGTGATTGGACGCAGGTCCCAGAGCCAATCAGCAGCAGAGTCATCAAGGAAAACCAGGAGGCCTTGACACCTAGGGCCTTGCTGAGCCCACTACTCCACACCATGGAGGGAGCTGTATGAGACTGTACAAGCACAGATGGCTGGCCCCCAGAGCTAGTGATTAAAGCCTGCTGGTTGCTTAGGAATGACTGGCCTCACATGCGCCCAGCTTGGACTGATCAACAGGACCCATTAGCTGCTGGGGTGACTGGGGAAGCTTTTAGCAAAGCTGAACACAGCTCCAGATCTACAGTGACAACCCATCACCATGCTGCTGCCTGATCCTCGCTAGTCCCCGGGGGCCTGGCTCTCCCCACACTGCCCTGGTGCCATGCTTGGGCCTCTTCCTGGAGTGTGAGACCCCAGGGAGGCAGGGCCAGGTCAGGACGAGGCTTGGCGGACAGCAGCTCTGGCCCTACCATTCCCTGCTCTGGAGAGGCTTCTGCTCCAGACCTACTGCCCCTCCTCACCCTGCTAGTCCCCAACTCCTTCCCACTGCCCTGGGTGTTGTGACCAATCCCATCAGCTAAGCAAAGATACTCAGGTCAGTTGAGAGTGCAGCACAACTTCCCACTGGGGCCCCTTCCTCCACCCACCACCCCTGCTCCTGCCCAATCCTGGCAGGACTGCTGCCCATATCCATGGCCCAGCGAGCACCAAGGAACCCACTTACCAAACACCACTCATCTGCGCACTCCCCCTGCTCATAATCCCATCTGGCTGGCTCCAGATGGTCATGGGGTGCCCAGCCCTGGCTCTCGTCGCCCCTGGGGAAGTCAGGGGTGTGTGGATTGGGTCTGAAATCACGGGGGCGAGGCTGCAAAGATGATATATACATGGCAGAGGGTGAGAATGAGACAGAGGACTCGAGATCTTTGCTTTGACCACAGAGGCTGAGGGCTCCTTTCCCCACTGATCAGCAATGGGAGGGTGGGGCCTATTCAATGGGCCAAACCTTGCTCTCCGCATTCCCAAAGCATCCTAGCCTTCGAGCCCACGTGGACAATGGCCCCCTTGCCCCAAGGGCCATGATGTGCCCTCACACCCATCTCAATGTGGTTGTTGGCTCTGGAGCCTAACAATGGCATGCGTTCAGTGTCACCAGCCATGCCAGCGCAGGGGGGATTTTGGTGGAAGACACCCACCCAAGGGAGCAAAGCTGGGATGTGGGCAGGGTGGGAAGCATGACCAGGGCTTGGCTGGAGCACCACCATGCCCAAGGTACAGGGAGAAAAGAAGATGAATCTTGTCTTTAGAGGTTTCATTGCCCTCCCCGTGGTCCCAGACATGCCCAGGGTCCATGGAATGGGCCCCAGCTGGTCACACAATGATTCCACTTCTGTCCACGGCCCCTCGACCACATCCCAAGTCCCAGGCTAGCTCCAACTCTCCGAGTCACAGATGCCACTTACCTCCCTGTGGGGTGGGCAGGACCTCCTTGGGTGGCCTCTTCTAGGGAACCTCCGGTCAGGTGAGGATTTCCTCATCGCTCAGGTCCTGAGAACGGAGGAGGATGCAATTGGTCAGCAGCAGAGACTGCAGGTGAGGGACAGCGCGCAAGCACATCAAGGGGCTGCAGAGCAGATGGCAAATCCTTCTCCTGGCTCTGTCCTGGGCAACAAGGCTCAGTCAAGCGAGTGGAAGAGGACTGAAGACCCTTTGCAGTTCCCGGTATGCTCGTATCAGCTCAACTCCGAGGGGCAATGTCTGGCACCTGGAAGGCTGTTCACCCTTATTGGCAGCCCTCTGTCCAGCTTCAGACACAGCTCTGGGGCCCCATTGAGGACCTCCCTCCTCAGGACATCGCCAGGCCCTTTTCACAGAGGGTCCAGTTTAAATCACACCTCCCCCCTGGTGCTGATTATAGCTGTAATTCAGCTGAAGATGCCCGTCGATCACGTGACCAACTGGCTCCTTTGCTAAAACACGCAACAACGGTCCCGAGAGTTACGTGCACCTGGACAACGTCACCGCCACAACTGCTGAGGAAGTACTTACAACAGAAGAAAGGGCCCGGGCTGGCTAGCAGGTCCTTCCCCAGGGGACACCCGGAAGCCCGCGTGCCCAGTGCTGCCACCTCTCAGATCCCCACTTTTGTTGCAGCTGCCTGAGATCACTCTGCGGTTTCCACTTCCTAACTGAACCCTCCTTATCAGAATGCGTTTCCGCTTCCCCCTTTCGCACAGGTCTCACTTGGTCTCCTGCCCCACATCCGTGCAGCAACTGTTACTTACCTCTCGTTTCACACGCTGCTTCTCTGCCTTGTTTTGGAGGGACCCAAGCGCTGCGAGGCAGGCACATGGGTCACACATCTGAACGTGTGCTGGAGCCCAAGCTACGGCTGGGCCAGCTAACCCTTCTCTTCCAGCATGCTAGCCTGTGTCTGAACGGGGCTTCTCACCCAGGTTAGACAAATCTGACTGCAATCACACAAAGCTTCTGACTGTCAACAGAAACCCCGATGGCTTCTAGGAGAACACCCTACAACTGCTGCCACATCACATGGTCACTCCTCTAGCTCGAGGGATAGAAACTTATCTGCTAACTGCTGCTGGCCCAGGGTTCAGATGCCACTAATGACCCTCAGGGGTGATAGGGAGTCATTATACAAGCTGCTTCCTTCAGGGCAGCAATGGTATTTATAGTGCACAGGCTGTCCTCCTAATTTACATGCCCAAGTGTCCCAGTCCTGAGCTGGCACCCTAGGGTGCCCGGTGCTGTACAGGCAGGGCCGCTGTCCCTCACCCACAACTCACTGCTTCTCCGAGGGTTGCTCACTGCATTTTGTCACCACCCCACAGGGACGGTCACGAGTCCAGCAGAGGAAATTTCCGTATTCCACAAAGGGCTCCAGCCTCAGGAACTGAATGGCTGAGGTGGGCAGGTCTGCGCTTCCTGACGGGAAACCCAGCATGTCAACGTTATCGGGGCCGGCAGGAACCAGCATAAGGAAATCGGCACCCCCCACGCCAAGCAGCACTTTTGGCAGCACAAACCAGAGCCAAAGCTGTCAACATGGGGCAGTGGGAGGGGCCCTTCTAAAATAAGCACGCCGTGATGCCCCCGGTGCCACAGGGAAACGGCCGGCAACTGAAACGGAGCCAAGAGCTAGTTATGAATAACACGGCCAGTGCTCGGCTGGGCCGAACCACTGATGAGAAGCGCTGGAGACTTCCGACCACCAGCCTGATTCGAAGCTCACCTGGCCACTGACTGCAGTCTGCTACGGGGCAGACTTGATGTCCATCTTGCTGGGCTCATCTGACCCCAGCGGTCTTTCCTGCCCAAGTGCAGGGGGGCTGGACCCAATGATCTGTAAGGTCCCTTCCAGCCCCTAACAACTATGAAACTATAAAACTGTGAAACCCCAGGAGCTGTATCAAGCAGCCTGTTGCCTTCCCTGTACTCCCACAGCAAAGCCTACTGTGCCAAGTCTTCACAACCCCTCAAGGACGGCAGTTTTGCTGACCTTCCCAGCCCAGTCTACAGGATGCAGCTTGCTCTCAGCCTCTCCCGGGATAGATAGGAGTTGGGCAGGCTCCATTCCTGGACAGGAGCCCTGTTACTTGAATTGCTCCTGCTCAGTACATTGGCCACTATTGTCTCAGGCCCTTTTACTGGTCGCAGTCACTTGTACACCGCCTGTGAGCTGCAAATGTGAGACTGCACCAAAGAGAACAATGCAATGATTTTCCAACCACCCCGCATTCTCTTTGGGATTTGCAACCCAAGCCGGGCAGCATCCAGGGCCTGGAAGAGGAAACTTGACTAAAAAGAAAGGGCAAAATTAACATCAAGTGTGTGACTCATGAGAACTGCCACAACGGAAAGGAGACTGAATGCAGAAGCAAACCCCAGGCAGCGAGCACGGTCTGAAGGACCTAGGACCAGCATAGGGGCTCCACTGCCAGCTCAGCCACTGGCCTACCTGTGATCTTGGGGGAGTCACCGCCCATCTCTGGGCCTCAGTTTCCTCCCGGGAACGCAGGGACACCAGAATTTATGCTCCTTTATAAAGTGCTCCCAGAGCACAGATTAATTGCTGTTTTCACAAGACAAAAAGGCAGCTTTGCTCACCTCAAATGCTCAAGAGCCATGAGTCGAACTCTCCAAAAATGATGCCTTGGGGGTTCTTTCTGCTTGCCTCCCCCACCCAAAATCAAACACCAGGGTTTTTTCTTTCAATGAAAGCCAAGCTTCTCATCTACTCGCTTCCTGCCCAGGTGCTAAGGTGCTGCACAACCAGACACCTCTGCCTTGCTGCTGCACGGTTTCTTTATGCGTGGTATCTAAGCCTTTAACTTCAGGTTTGAAATAGAAAAGCTAGAAACAAGTACAGAGTGCCTGGGTTGCAGAGACTAGGACAGGCTGGTGCTGGGGAACGATCCCTGGGGGGTGGGGGGTCAGAAGGGACGAGATAAATGCACTAGTGAAAACCTGGTGGCACTGATAGCTTTGTAGAAGGCTTCCTTAATTTAAAAGGGAGCCACCTAAACTGGTGGGTGTGCAGGCCCAGTGTCGCCCCATGCAGGCAGGCCAGACCAGTTCTTTCTCCCCCTGGACCCCTGCGCGTACCAGATCCTGCTGCTACCAGCCTGCGCCCGACTCCTCCTGCATTTTCCATGTCCATCCTCCCCCAGCTTGCCCTTGCCATCAACTCTCCTGGGGGAAGGAGGCAGCCCCTATGTACACTCCCTTCCAGCTTGCAGACAAGGCCCTAGCGCTTTGGCTTCGTGGCTTTTTACGGGGTCAGCCCGTCAGTCTCCCGTGTCACACGAGGGCAGATAGCGGCTGCTGAAAGCGAGGGACCTGGGTCTGGCCAGGGCTTTTTCCTCGGTTCCTCTCTCTCCCTTGCAGCTGTGGCGTAAGGTCTAGGCAGCTTTGATTCGGAGGCCGTGCCCCTCACTGCCCTACTTGTGCTCAATAGCTGCTGAGGGTGCAGGGGTCTAGCGGGCAGAGGATCGGTTCCCCAAACGGAGAAGCAGCACAAGGACCCAGTCCCCCTGTGGGTCCCATCCAAGCCCCTTGTCTTGCACAAGCCCCCGGCCCCAGCCCATCGCTGCCTGATTTCTTGTGCAATTTCCTTACTGCTCCCAGCTCCGTCCCCTGCAGCCTGACGAGCCACATCTGCCTGCTTATCGGGGCTCTGCAGCACACCGACCTCCATCGCCCCCTTCCCGGCTGCTGAATGGGTCCTGGCGCCTTGTTGTGGGGCTGCCACCAGCGCATCTCCCGGGCAGGGGGAGCCGAAAGATGTGCCTGTGCGTTACAGCTACAAGCAGATCTGAGGATGCACCAGG